CTCAGATATCTTCCGCTCTTCACCAGGGCGCTGTTCAAATGGCACCTCACCAGAGAGGCCACTCCCTTCTCCCTGGCAGCTCTCCCGACCATCAGCAGGTCTCCCCTGCTCTTGTTTTTCGCAGCACCTACCTGCCGTCCCCAGCATAGACCTCAGCGTATTGTCTCCTCTCCTCACACCAGCTGAATGAGGGCAGACACTTGTTGCTCACAGCTCGATCTCCAGCACTTGCCATTCTCTGCCTGCCATACCCAGGGAACTTGTGGGTGGGTGGGTGGGAGGATGGATGGATAGGTGGATGGGAGGATAAATGGGTAGATGGATGGATGGGTAGGTGGATGGATGTGAGAGTGAGTGAGTGAATGACTATTAGACCTGACCCCAAGGCACTGTATGCTCTAACTCTACTCTGGGGTGCAATGTACAGTTAGGCCAGGCTCTGTCCACCTCAGCACTACTGACATTTGGAGATGGGTTTCAACTCTGTTGTGGGGTCTGTACTGTGCATTGCAGGGTATTTACAGCAACTCTGGACGGTAGCAGCCACCCAAGTTGTGACAACCACAATATCTCCAGATACGGCCAAAAGCCTGGGGTGGGGTGAGGGGCCAGTCACTGCCAGTTGATAACCATTGAGTTACACCTTAACCTCCAATAAATGATCTTATTGCAAGAAAATATTATGAACAACCATATGCCAACAAATTCGACAACCTGGTGAAATGAAAAAAATCCTATAAACATACAATCTTCCACAACTCAAATCAGGAAGAATCAGAAAATCTGAATAGGCCGATAACAACTAATGAAGTTGAAGCAGTAATCAAAATACTCCCAGCAAAAAAAAAGTCCTGGACCAGATGGCTTAACAGGTGAGTTTTACCAAACATTCAAAGAAGAACTAACACCCATCCTCCCAAACTATTAGAAAAAAATTCAAGAGACTTCCAAGCTCTTTTTATAAGGCCAACATTATCCTAATTCCAAAACCAGATAAAAGACACTACAAAGAAAGAAAATTACAGGCCAAAATCCCTGATGAACTTAGATGCTAAAATACTCAACAAAATATTAGCAAATTGGGTCCAACAATGTATTTTTTTTTAAAAGATTATATACTATGACCAACCTGGATTTATTATTCTGGGTATGCAAGACTGATACAATATTTCCAAATCAAATATACATCACATGAGCAAAATGAAGGATAAAAATCACACGGTCATATCAACAGACACAGAAAAGGCATTGACACAATCCCCCACCCATTTATGATAAAGGCTACCAGCAAAGTGGGAACAGAGGGACCATACCTCAACATGATAAAGGCCATATATGACAAACCTACAACCAACATCATACTCAATGGGCAAAAACTAAAAGCATTTCCCTTAAGATCAGGAACAGGACAGGGATGTCTGCTTTCAAGAAGAAAAAAACCAAAGGCATTCAAATTGGGAAGGAGGAAGTAAAACTCATTAGCAGCAGATGGCATATTGTACATAGAAAACCCTAAAGACTCCACCAAAAAGCTGCTGTATTTAATGAATGCATTTGGCAAAATAGTAAGATACAAAATTAACACCCAGAAAACAATGGCATTTTTATACACCAATAGTAAACTCCCAAAGAGAAACTGATTTAAAAATCCCACTTACCGTTGCAACAACAAAATAATAATATACTTAGGAATAAACTTAACCAAGACCTGTACTCAGAAAACTAGAACATTGAAAAAAGAAATAGAGGATTCAATGCAATCCTTATTAAAATACTAATGGCATCATTCACAGATCTACAACAAATATTCCAAAAATGTATATGGAACCAAAAAAGACCCCAAATAACCTTAGCGATCTTGAGAAAGGACAACAAAGTTATAGGGATCACAATACTGGATATCAAACTATACTACAAAGCCACTGTCATCCAAACAGCCTGATACTGGCACAAGAACAGGCATATAAACCAAATAGCCCATGGCAGAGACCCCAGAAATTGACCCACACCATTATGGTCATTTAATAATTGACAAAGGAGGCAAGAGCCTACATGGAGTAAAGATCTCTTCAATAAATGGTGTTAGGAAAGTACATGCAAAAGAAAAAAAAGAAAGAAAAACTAGACCACCAACTTACACCATATACAAGAATAAACTCAACATGGGTAAGACTTAAATGTAAGTTCTGAAACCATAGAAATCCTAGAAGGAAACATAAGCAGTAAAATCTCAGACATCTCACATAGCAGTATTTTTACCAATTCATCTAGGGCAGTGGTTGGCAAACTGCGGCCCCTTGAGTGTGGCTCTTCCACAAAATACCACGTGCAGGCGTGCACATACAGTGCGATTGAAACTTCGTGGCCACACTCAGGGGGCCAAAGAGCCACATGTGGCTCGTGAGCTGCGGTTTGCTGACCACAGATCTAGGGCAAGAGAAACAAAAAAAATAAATGAGACTACATCAAACTAAAAAGCTGCCCAGTAAAAGAAACCATCCACAAAATGAAAAGGGAACCCACTGTATGGGAGAACATATTCACCAGCGATACATCTGATAAGGGCTTAATTTCTAAAATATAGAAAGAACTCATACAACTCAACACCAGGAAGACAAACAATCCAATTTAAAAAATGGTCACAGGACATGAATAGACACTTATCTAAAAAGGACACATAGATGGCCAATAGACATATGAAAAAATGCTTAATGTCACTAATCATCAGAGATACAAATTAAAACTACAATGAGCTATCCCTTCACACCTGCCAGAGTGGCTACCATCAACACATCAACAAACAACAAGTGCTGGCAAGGATGTGGAGATAAGGGGAACACTAGTTCACTGCTGGTGGGAATGCAGATTGGTGCAGCCACTATGGAAAACAGTATGGAGTTTCCTCAAAAAATTAAAAATGGAATTGCCATTTGATCCAGCAATCCCACCTCTGGGAATATATTCTAAGAAACCAGAAACACCAATCAGAAAGAATATATGCACCCCTATATTCACAACAGCCTTATTTACAGCTAGAGGCCCGGTGCACGGATTCATGCACCAGTGGGGTTCCTCAGCATGGCCTGTGGGGATCGGGCTGAAATCGGCAGTCCAATGCCACCTGCCACTCCCGCTCACCCTGGCCCCAGCCCCAGCCCCATTGTGCCTGCCGTGAGCTCGTGCCCAGTCCAGATCGGGAGAGGCTCACGATGCCACAGTGGCACTCACCAGCCGTGAGCCCTGAATCTGGCGCCCATCCTGAGGGCGTGTGGGGGGACGAGATGTGATCAGCCCTCCGGGCAGGTGGTGGGACGCCATTGCCGGCCTGGGATCCAGATCCGGATCCATCCCACTGATGTTTGTGCCAGTTGTCGGGAGCCACCTGGTGGCCACTTTTATATCATTTCTTGTGGAGCATCTAGGGAGGGGAAGCAGCCCCGGTGCCTGAGGCCGACTTCCAAGAGGCGGGCAGCGCTGTTGGGAAAGTGCTGGTGGCACCAGTCAGTTGGTCCCTGGCCCATTCTTCGGAGATTGGACCTGCAGGACTACTGAGGGAGTGAGTGGCTGCCACCAGGCCAGGATGGGTCGGTCAGCTGAGCGACACTCCCACTGTGGGAGTGCATTGACCACCAGAGGGGCAGCTCCTGCATTGAGCATCTGCCCCCTGGTGGTCAGTGTGCATCATAGCGACCAGTCGACTGGTCGTTCGGTTGCTTAGGCTTTTATATATATAGACTAGAGGCCCAATGCACGAAATTCATGGAAGGGTCGTGGCCCTTGCAGCCCAGGCTTCATCCGGAAGGTCATCCGGATGGTCATCCTGACGGTCGTTCTGCTGTTCGGTCTAATTAGCATATTAGCTCTTTATTATATAGGATAGCTAAGATCTGGAAAAAGTGCCCATCAATAGATGAGAGGATAAAAAAGCTGTGGCAATGGAATACTATGCAGCTGCAAAAGAAAAAGAAGCTCTTACCCTTTGGAACAGAATGGTTGGACCTGGACAGTGTTATGCTGAGTGAAATAAGCCAGTCAGAGAAAGACAAGTATCACATCATCTCACTCATATGTGGAATCTGATGAACAAAATTGGTCCAGAGGCATGGATGCATGGATCAGGCTGACAGATCTCAGAGGGGAGGGGGGTGGGGGAACTGAACCAAAGAACTTATATACAGACTAGTGGCCTGGTGCACGAAATTCATGCGGGGGGGGGGGGTGTCCCTCAGCCCGGCCTGCACCCTCTTCAATCTGGGACCCCTTGGGGGATGTCTGACTACCGGGGGATGTCCCTGTAGGATCAGGCCTAAACTGGCAGGTGGACATCCCTTTCACAATCTGGGACCGCTGGCTCCTAACCGTTCACCTGCCTGCCTGCCCGATTGCCCCTAACCACTCTGCCTGCCAGCCTGCTCACCCCCAATTGCCCTCCCCAGCTGGCCTGATCACCTCCAAATGCCCTTTCCTGCTGGCCTCATGGCCCCCAAATGCCCTCCCCTGCCGGCCTCATGGCCCCCAATTGCCCTCCCCAGCCAGAGGCCCTCCACAGCTGGGCATGGAATGCTTGCCTCGTTGCCAGGGTGACGACACAAGCATTCCACCCTGGCTGCTCTGTGCCCCTGCCCAGAGGCTTTCTGTGGCCAGGGTGGAACACTTGCCTCGTCACCGTAGCGATGAAGCAAGTATTCTGTCAGGCCACTCACACTGCCTGCTCTCAGGGGCGGCCCCCCAGGACTGGGGGACTCCAGTGGGGCTGAGAGGACTGGGTGCCACCATCTTGTGGCTATGGGCACTGCCATCTTTGTGGCGGAGTGATGGCCAATTTGCATATTCTCTCTTTATTAGATAGGATATGCATAACCCATGGGCATAGGCAGAAGTGAGGGAAGACCTGGGGTGGGGCCGGGGCTGGGTAGAGGAAGCAAAGGGTAGGAAAGTGGGGGGCATCTGTAATACTCTCAACAATAAAAACAAATCCTTACACCTGCTCCCCAGATGGGCGTGGAAAGTGGCCCCATCCCCAGGTGGCCTCTCACTCCTCCTCGGAGAGCCACACGAGAAACCACAGGCTTTGCTGCTGCCGTTTATTGTTTTATCACATATTTACATTCCAACAGGAGACCTGTCCATCACTGCCAAGGCCCTTTGGCTCCCACTGGCTCCAGACACCTTGGCACAAGCTGGGGCTCGGGCATCACACGTTCAGCAGGAGGGGCTGGTGCTCCTCATTGGCGGCTGCGCTGGGTGGGATCTCGTAGACGACACACAGGGAGGAGTAGAGGCAACCCAGGAAGGACACCAGGCTAGAGAAGTACATCACCCCATTGGCGCTGCCCACAGCCGAGGTCAGGGGCCCCAGCACCAGCGAGACCAGGATCTGGGCCAGGAAGTACTGGCAGCTGAGCAGCGAGATGTCCACGCCCATGCCACGCCGCGTGCCGTCCGCGCTGGACCCTGCAAACTGACGGGAGGAGGGGGTGTCAGCGGCGGGGCCAGGGACCCGTGTCCCCTGCAGTCCGCGCTGGACCCTGCAAACTGACGGGAGGGGTGTCAGTGGCGGGGCCAGGGACCCGTGTCCCCTGCAGTCCATGCTGGACCCTGCAAACTGACCCGGGGGGGCGTGTCAGTGGCGGGGCCAGGGACCCGTGTCCCCTGCAGTCCATGCTGGACCCTGCAAACTGACCCGGGGGGGGGGCACACCAGTGGCAGGGCCAGGGACCCGTGTCCCCTGCAGTCCATGCTGGACCCTGCAAACTGACCCGGGGGGGCGGGGCACACCAGTGGCGGGGCCAGGGACCCGTGTCCCCTGCAGTCCATGCTGGACCCTGCAAACTGACCCGGGGGGGCGGGGCACACCAGTGGCGGGGCCAGGGACCCGTGTCCCCTGCAGTCCATGCTGGACCCTGCAAACTGACCTGGGGGGGCGGGGCACACCAGTGGCGGGGCCAGGGACCCGTGTCCCCTGCAGTCCATGCTGGACCCTGCAAACTGACCCGGGGGGGGCGGGGCACACCAGTGGCGGGGCCAGGGACCCGTGTCCCCTGCAGTCCATGCTGGGCCCTGCAAACTGACCCGGGGGGAGGGGGGGCGGGGCACACCAGTGGCGGGGCCAGGGACCCATGTCCCTGCAGGCCCAGCAGCCCCGCGCCCACGCACAGCGGGCTCACATTTTCCAGCGCCAACGTGCACAGGGAGTTCAGCCAAGAGTTTAATAATATTTGTGTTCAGAGAGATGACGGCAATGAAAAGAATCCATGACTAATGGGGCGGGAGGGCCGCCTCCTCACAGGGAGGGTGGCACTTTCCCCGCCACACTCTCTGGTCCTTTCTCCTCCCTCTCACCCGAGAGGAAGCAGCCTGCCCGCCCACTGGGCGCTGTGTCTGGACAAACTGCTGCTCGCTGCCATGCCTGTCGCACACCCTGTCACAGCCCACAGCAGGGGGGCCTTTGGGCGGGTTCCTGAGGCTCTTGTACCTCCAGCCTGGTCACATCATCTCCCTCCCCACCCACCGCACCACGTGGGCATGTGGTGGGCATGGTGATGGGCACGGTGAGCATGTGGTGAGCATGGTGATGGGCATGGTGGTGGGCATGGTGAGCATGTGATGGGCATGGTGGTGGGCACAGTGATGGGCATGGTGGTGGGCAGGGTGGTGGGCATGGTGATGGGCATGGTGGTGGGCACAGTGATGGGCATGGAGGTGGGCACAGTGATGGGCATGGTGGTGGGCACAGTGATGGGCATGGAGGTGGGCACGGTGATGAGCATGGAGGTGGGCACGGTGTTGGGCACGGTGTTGGGCACGGTGGTGGGCACGGTGATGGGCATGGTGGTGGGCACGGTGGTGGGCACGGTGATGAGCATGGAGGTGGGCATGGTGTTGGGCATGGTGGTGGGCACTGCGGTGGGCACGGTGGTGAGCATGGTGTTGGGCACGGTGATGGGCATGGTGGTGGGCACGGTGGTGGGCACGGTGATGAGCATGGAGGTGGGCATGGTGGTGGGCACGGTGGTGGGCACAGTGATGGGCATGGAGGTGGGCACGGTGATGAGCATGGTGGTGGGCACGGTGTTGGGCACGGTGGTGGGCATGGTGTTGGGCACGGTGGTGGGCACGGTGATGAGCATGGAGGTGGGCATGGTGGTGGGCACGGTGGTGGGCATGGTGTTGGGCACAGTGATGGGCATGGTGGTGGGCACGGTGATGAGCATGGTGGTGGGCACGGTGGTGGGCACGGTGGTGGGCATGGTGATGAGCATGGAGGTGGGCATGGTGGTGGGCACGGTGGTGGGCACGGCGGTGGGCACAGTGATGGGCATGTGTCTGTGAGCAGGGCTGCAGGGTGACGTGGCAGGAGGTGGTGTGGGTCCCAGCACAAGCCACCCCCACCCAGAGCCACCGCTGCAGCAGGCGGGTGCCGCCCCACACGCCGCCGTGTGCACTGCCTGGATGCCGGCACGGCCTGGCCCTGTGCCCGGACAGAGGTGGCACCTCTGGGACGCTGCCACGCCCCTCCCTGGGGAAGGCGGCGTCCTCGTGGGCACCGCAAGGGGCTCGGGGAATGGGCACGCGGTGACCACATGCGGCGTCAGGGCCGCGGGAGGCCCCTGAGGTGGGGAGGCCGCACCTGAGCCCCCAGCCTCCCGCCCGAGGGAGACAGTGCGAGCGGCCAGAGGCCCTGCGGTCCCCGCGGCCTCGCCTTCCGGGCAGCTCTGCCCAAAGCCGGCTGCGGCGGCCTGAGGCCCGGGGGCCCCCTCCTGGGGCAGGCAGCCCTCCACCCAGACCCCACCCAGCGCATCCACTCAGCCCAGCGCCGGCCTCAGGGCGGCGGGGAAGTGACTGGGGATGGAGGCGGGACAGCACCGGGAGCGGGGTCCCTTGGGTGCTGCTGGCACGGGCCCCGCAGTGCCGGCGGGAGGTGCGGGGTGCACACAGCTCACGCCTGTGGTCACAGCCTCAGGCCGCCCGGGGTCAGCACAGGCCCGCGTGGCCGTGGCCCGCCTGCTGCCGGCAGAGGGGAGGTGGGAGGGGCTGCCCGGGCGGACCGCCGAATTCACCGGGACCCCAAACCCTGAAGACAAGTCAGGAAGCCTCCGGCCTGGACCTGGTGGGTGGGTGGGGGGGGGCAGGCGGGGGGGACGGTGGGGGGGGTCGGGGGGGGGGGGACAGAGGCCCGAACCACAGGGGGTGCGAGACGCTCCACCCTCAAGGTGACCTTCATGCACGTCTTTCAAATCTCAACGTTTCTGCCCAAACCTAGGCTGGGGGCTCGGCTCGGCCGCAGCAGCGAGGCCCCCACTCCCGCCGCCGCGAGGGTGGCCCTGCGGCATCGGCATCACGGAGCGGAGCCGCCACCCCACCCGCGTGGCCCGCGTCCGCAGCGGCTGAGTCCACAGCGAGGGCAGCAGGGCTGGTTCCCGGGGCCGGGGTGGCCAGCGGGTTGGGGTTCTTTGGACTGTGGTGCTGGCCGCACGATTGGTGAATGGGGGGGGGGGGGCAGGTTACAGCGTGGTGATTGTCATCTATTCATTGTGGGGTATTTTCCTCACGGACAGCTGTCGGCCCCCCCCGCCCTGAGCAGTGAGCGCCGCGGGTGGACTGCGGGCGACGCCTCTCGGGGGGGCGGTGAAAGGGAAGCCGAACTTTCCCATAAAGAGGGCGCTGCTCCCACCTGGCGGGCACGGGGTCCTGCTCTGGGCCGTGAGAGTGCCGCTGTTCTGCTCAGTGTGGGTTTGGGGCACGGGTTCTTGTTTGTAGAAACACGGCGTGGGCACAGCGCTGATCTTGACGGCTGGGTTTTTGTGCCCAAGGTGAGCGCCTCGCCCGCCTCACCCGGCCGGTGCCCACAGGTGACCCTGAAGCCTGGCGGGGACACTGGGGGAACCTCCCCTTCCAGCCTCCCAGCTCCCCCCTGCCCATAACCCCCCTGCTGTCCCCGCCTGATGTTTGAAGGGGGCCCTGTATCTCCCTGTGCACCAGCCTCAGACTGCAGGGGGGGCCGCTTCCGGGGGAGGCTCTCTGAGCCACCGGGGGGGGGGGGGGGGGGGGGGCGGGGGGCGGGGGGCGGGGGGCGGAGCCGGAGCCGGAGCGGGCGCCTACCTCCCGGCTGTGGTAGTAGTCACACAGCAGCGAGTAGGGCAGCGTGCACAGCGTGGAGAACAGGATCCCGTAGGTCACGCACAGGGACAGGACCACGTAGAGGTTCCGGGACAGGGTGGCCAGCCCGGTCCCCAGGCCGAAGGCCAGGTAGGCCACGAAGTAGAGCGTGCGGATGCTGAGGCGCTCCTCCAGCTTCTCCAGGATCGCTGCGGGCGACAGGGTGAGGCTCGTGTCCCGCCTCCCGCCCACCCTGAGGCTGGCGGGGGCGTGAGCACGCGTGGCAGGCAGCCTGCCCGGACCAGGCGGCGAGGGACCCCGGACGGCTTCGTGGGGCCAGACCGATGGCAGGTCCTGAGCTGCCACGACAGGTTGTTGAATGAAAGGAGACGGCGCTGGGATGGCCTGCCCGTCGTCATAAAGACACACACCTGCCTTCAATTCGTGTACTCCAACCGCCGACCCATGGCCATCGGACCCAAGGCCATCAGACCCAAAGCCATCAGACCCAAGGCCATCAGACCCAAGGCCATCGGACCCAAGGCCATCAGACCCAAGGCCATCGGAACCAAGGCCATCAGACCCAAGGCCATCAGACCCAAGGCTATCGGAACCAAGGCCATCAGACCCAAGGCCATCGGACCCAAGGCCATCGGACCAAGACCATCGGACCCAAGGCCATCGGAACCAAGGCCATCAGACCCAAGGCCATCAGACCCATGGCCATCAGACCCAAGGCCATCGGACCCAAGGCCATCGGAACCAAGGCCATCAGACCCATGGCCATCAGACCCAAGACTATCGGAACCAAGGCCATCGGACCCAAGGCCATCAGACCCAAGGCCATCGGACCCAAGGCCATCAGACCCAAAGCCATCAGACCCAAGGCCATCGGAACCAAGGCCATCAGACCCAAGGCCATCGGACCCAAGGCCATCGGAACCAAGGCCATCGGAACCAAGGCCATCGGACCTCCCGCGAAGGGCCACCCCGGTGTCCGCCCGGCACGCACCTGAGTAGAAGGCGGCGCTGAAGGCGTAGATGCACATCCCCCAGCAGCCCATGGTGACGCCGCTGTTGTACCTCCGATACTCCTCCGACGTGCGCGGGGCCTTGGGGTCCCCCTGAAACACCACCTCGCCCATGAAGTCCGTGTAGAAGAGCAGCATCCCCTCGAAGGACAGCCAGCCTGGGGGGGCGGGGGGGGGGCGTGACCATGACCCACGGCACAGACGTGGACAAGGCCCCTGTCGCCAACAGCGGGTTTGCCTGATTCTCAAGGAAACGCGCGGACTCAAGACTTAAAGGAGGCACCACCTCTCCTCACACTGAGACCTTCTCTCCCACCCACCTGCCCTCTCTCCCTCCCTCCCCCCCTCCCTCCTCCCCTCCCTCCCTCCCTCCCTCCCTCCCGCCCTGCCCTCCCTCCCTCCCCGCCCTCCCGCCCTCCCTCCTAGAAGGTCACTCTGATTGGCACCCACAGCGCGGGGCCTGGCTTCCTCGGATGCTCCGGCAGCCCCACCGTGCGCACCGCGGGAGGACACGCACATGGGCTTTGCCGGAGGAACGCGAATGCCAGGCCTGTGCGCACGAGGCCAGCCCTGGACGTATGTGGGCACGTGTGGGTGTCCGTCTCTCTGTGTGTGGATGTCTGAGTGTCTCTGTGTGTGAGTGTCTGTTCTGTGTGTGGGTGTCCATGTGTCTGTGTGTGGGTGTCTGTGTGTGGATGGATGTGTGTCTGTATGTAGATGTCCGTGTGTTTGTATGTGGATGTCTGAGTGTCTGTGTGTGTGTGTCTGTGTGTGGGTGTCCATGTGTCTGTGTGTCTGTGTGTGGTTGTCCGTGTGTCTCTGTGTGTGTGTCTGTGTGTGGATGTCCGTGTGTCTGGGTGTCTGTGGGGGATGTCCGTGTGTCTCTGTGTGTGTGTCTGTGTGTGGGAGTCCATGTGTCTGTGTGTCTGTGTGTGAATGTCCATGTGTCTGTGTGTCTGCGTGTGGATGTCCGTGTGTCTCTGTGTGTGTGTCTGTGTGTGGATGTCCGTGTGTCTGGGTGTCGATGTCCATGTGTCTGTCCCGGCTCGAGGTGAGGCCCACCAGCCTCACAGGTGCGACAGTGACATGTCACTTAATCGTGAGCCGCTTGAAGAGTCTGGGAATGAGGTTTGGGCTGCAGAGACCCAGGGTCCCTCTGAGCTGCACACCCGGGTTAGCCCGTGGCTGCCGACGGTGGCATCTCTCTGGCTTCCCCGGGAGGAGCCCGCCGGGCAGTCCCACGCCACGTCTGCCCCGTGGTATCCGGGAGCTAAGTGAGCACGGGGGTCCTGGAAGGCATCCCTGGGCCCCCACGCAGCATGACCCCCGCCGGGGCGTGGAGGGGGCCGTGCCCCGAGCTCACCCAGGAAGTGGTTGACGCACAGGCTGCGCAGCGCCCAGGGCATGTGGCAGATGGTGGAGCAGAGGTGCCGCATGGACAGAGGCGGCCCCGCCGGCTCGCTGGGGCCCGGCAGCTCGCTCTCGTACTTCACGCCGTTCAGCAGGATGTTCGCCACCTGGAAAGGGAGCCCACGGGCCCCATCAGAGCCGCCAGCCGCCCGCGGAGCAGACGCAGGCGTGGCTGGGGGTCGTCTCCCCACGGGGTGAACGCGGAGGGTTTCAGGTCTTCTCTTCCGAGACGTGGAGCCGCAGAGCATGGAGCTGCGTTTGGGGGGCCGCACCTGGGCCCAGGAGGCAGCACCTCCCGCAGGGAGGACGTCAGTACCTTCCCCAAAAGGGGAAACACACTCGAAATGAACAAAACCCGGGCAGTTGCAGCACAGGCTCTAGGAAGGCCTCTCGCCCACCAGGGCAGTGACGGCGAACCTTCTGAGCTCGGCGTGCCAGCATTTTGAAAAACCCGAACTTAACTCCGGTGCCGTGTCACATGTAGAAATTTTTTGATCTTTGCAACCATAGTAAAACAAAGACTTATATTTTTGATATTTATTTTATATATTTAAATGCCGTTTAACAAAGAAAAATCAACCAAAAAAAATGAGTTCTCGTGTCACCTCTGACACGCGTCATAGGTTCGCCATCACTGCCCTAGAGGGTGTGAGAGACTGATCCCGGGCGATGGGGCACCTCCCTCTGGACGGCGGGGGCGGCGGCGGAGGGGGGGACTCCTCTCTGCACGGCGGTTCGGGGGCCAAGTGTCACTGCGAACAGACACACCTGGGCCCTGGTGAAGGCTGTGTGTCCCCAGACACCCCACTGGCCACGGAGTGGACACGCCGAGTGGGGCGAGACTACTGAGGAGGCCGCCGCCCACTGGCTGCCTGGCTGATGTCAGACACCACCCCGGCCAGGTGCGCTGAGCAGCAGGTGTCCCTGAGCAAAGAGGAGCCGCTGCTCTGGCTGCACGGCTGGGGGGGGGGGGGGGGGGGGAGGGGGGGGGGGACGGGAGGGGGCCTGTGCTGGGTCAGCACCAGGGATGGGATCCGGGAGGAACAGAAAGAGGAAGGAAGTAGCCGAGGCGCTGGTTCAAGGTCAGCCCCGCCCCCGAGGAAGGAAGACGGCAGCCACGCCCACCTGAGGCCCCACCCGGGGGGGGGGTGTTTAGCTCAGGAGTTTTACTTTCTTCCAAGAACTGATTCATAAACCCCACTATGTCGAGAATGAACATTTTAAAAAGGATGAAAAGGAGACTGTCAGCCATACAGGAAGTTTAGTTTAGATTCTCAACAGACAACCGAGGGCTGGAAGCCAGTTTGAGTTTTGGGAAGGGGACAGGGGACAGGGGACAGGGGACAGGGGACAGGAGGGCCTGCGTTGAGCAGAGGCCTGATGGCCGCTGTGGCCTCGGGGCGGGCGAGGGGAGCGATGCCCGGCCCCTCAAGGCAGGGTGTCTCTGCTGTGACAGAACCAGCGGGCTTCCTAACCCTCCAGCGATTTTCGGTTCTTCCGACCCTTCCCAGATCCGGCTCCCGTGGCGCGGGCAGCGCCTGGCAATGCCCTCCCAGGAGATGAGACGACGACGAGGTGATGAGAGAGGCCCTGGGCCACAGAGCACCAGAGAAGCAGCCGGGAAGCGGTCCCGCTGGGGATTTCACAGCAGCCCTGGCCGCTGGGCTGGGGGTGGGGTGGGGGTGGGGGGGTGGGGGTGGGGGGGGGGGCGGTCGGGGCGTCCATGCCCGGAGGGGTTGCCCGTCGGGGCACGTGCCAGAGTTTCTGGCTCGATCTCCAGTCGAGGGCGCGCAGGAGGCAGCCGATCATTGTTTCACTCTCACATCGATGTTTCTCTCTCTCTCTCTCCCTCTCCCTTCCTCTCTCTCTAAAAATCAATAAACAATTGGGGGGGGGGGGATGTCACAATGAAGAGAACATGAAAAGCCACCTCCACGTGTCTCCAGCTAACCTCCTGTGAAACCAGGGGTCTCCCAGGCCCGGAGAGGGGAGGCCTGGCTGAGGACCCGGCTCCCCTCTCCTTGAAGCCCCCCCGGGGCGGCCCGAGGGCAGGGGCCCCAGGCCTCCTGTGTGGACTCAGGAGGAGAGAACACAGTGGCCTCTTCGCGATCGGACGCTGACAGCTGCTCAAATCCCACAAACCAGCATGCAGCCTGTCAGCCCATCCCTCCGACACCACATACGATGCCAACAGCCTTCCGGAAGGTTCCCCGCCTGCACGGACGCCGCCGCTCACTGCCCTTTCGCATCCGGAGGTGTGACAGCCTCCGGGTGGTCAGCTAAGGTCAGACACCGGCACGAGGAGGGCCGGAGGCCGGAGGCCCAGCAGCGTCCACCAGTTCCCCCTGCGTTTGTCTTTCAGGAACGTGGGCACCAGATCCCGCGGCCGGCGCGGCGGGCGTTCCCGGGAAACGGCAGACACCGGACACGCACACAGCGCGGAGGAGCCGCCTGCAGGACCGGTGGCCGCCGCCGCCGGGAGAGCCGCCCCTTTAGCTGCGGCCGGTGCGTGAAGCGCCTCCGCCCTGGCGGGTGCTCCCCGCTCACCTGGCCCAGATGTCTCTCGACACATCATCCTCGGCCCAAATTATCCACTTAAAACTCAGCCTGTCTATTGGGCCAGACCAGTGGGCGGCAAACTCATCAGTCAACAGAGCCAAATATCAACAGGACAACGACTGAAATTTCTTTTGAGAGCCAAATTTTTTAAACTTACACTATATAGGTAGGTACATTGTGATTAACTTAATTAGGGTGCTCCCAAGGCTTAGGAAGAGCCACACTCAAGGGGCCAAAGAGCCGCATGTGGCTCGCAAGCCGCAGTTTGCCGACCACAGGGCCAGACATTTAGTTAACTCACCCCTAATGCCTGGCCAGGCCAGGCCAAATGACTTCGCGGGCTTTCTGTGGCCCCCGGGCCAGATGCTCCCCACCTCTGGCTCAGCCCACCAGATGGCCGGGAATTTCTCTCCAGATTGGCAATCCCTCCTGTTGTCTCACTGACGAGGGCCACACCCCGACCCCCCTGCTTTTACCTGTTGACTGAAGGTCACGTTCCTTCTCTTGCTGGTGTCGGGACCACCTCCTCCGGCCGCGTCCGGGAGGGCCAAGGTCTGGGGTCTCTTCAGGATCCCGGCCGATCGCGGCTTGGAGGTGTCCAGGGAGCCCACCCTCAGGACGTCCGCGTCACAGCTGGTGGTCAGGGCCACCTCCCGCCGCTGCCCGAGGCCGCTGTCCTGGCCGAGGCTGCGGTCCTGGCGGTAGAAGGCGTCGGGGGCCCGGGGGAAACTGACGCTGAGGGCTGGCCGCGGGGTGCCGCCCGGGATGGCCAGGTAGCCGCCCGGGGTGGCCAGGTAGCTGTCGTGGCCGCCCGTGAAGCAGTCAATGAGGACGCTGTCAATGTGGGAGGTGGCAAAGGACGAGGCGAAGGCGCTGAGCCCGGTCGGGGAGCTGTCCCTGCTGAGGAAGCTGCCGTACTTGGGCGTGAGGGGGCTGAGCGGGGAGATGGGGCTGGAGAAGCTGGCATACGGGCCGTTGTCCGGGTGACCGGGCACGGAGCCTCCGGTGCCCTCCTGGCCCAGGACGGGCGGGGAGGGCGGCAGCGGGAGGCTGGGGCTCTTCATGGGGGGCCTCTTCTCGCCCGGGGGCCGCAGGGGCCTCTCGGGGATGCTGAGCAGCGTCAGGGCGGTGGTGACGCTCAGGATGACGGCCGTGAAGAGGAAGATGACCCGCAGCTGCCCGCCCAGGGCTCGCCCGAAGCCGGTCCTGTCCCAGTGGATGCCCCCGACCACGTACCCGAAGCCGCCGCCAAGCCCTGGGGGGGGGGGGGCGGGAGGGAAGCTCGGCTCTCACCCCAGGCGCTAAATCCCTCCCAGGACCCGGGGTGTCCTCCTCCCAGCGACACCCCAACAAAAGTGAGCATGAGAATGGGGTTCCCAGGGACCGGGTGGAGCCTAACCGCAAAAATAACAAGAATCGGCCACATAGAGCAGTGTCCATCACATCAGCGCGGGCCATTGCGGAGACCTGGCGTTTGAGACACGCATTTCCGGCCACGTCCGTGCTCACGCGTGGGTTCGAACTGCAGCCGTGTTTAGACCAGGGCGCGCGGAGGGGCCGCCCGGGCGCACGGGGGCGGCACGGGAGCGGACGCACCTGCCAGGAGCGCGTGGATGCTCAGGCCGCGGTCCTGGTCGGCGGGGCCGCACACGTCCATCATGTAGGCGTGGCTGGGGCTATCGGCCGAGTCGGCGCTGAAGTCCATCAGCACCACCCCGCACACGGTGAGCAGGAGGCCCCAGCGGTGGTCGCCCGCCGAGTCGGCCAGCGCCGCGCCCAGGTCCCGGCCGTTGAGCAGGAGCGAGAGGCCCAGCAGCGCCCCTGCGGACAGAGAGACGGTCACCGCGGGAAGCGCGGACCGGCCCCCGCGACGGACATCCGGACTCTTCAGGGCCCAAGAATTCCTTTCTAGTCACATTCCAAGCAGAGCCCCTGGCCATGCCACCTGCAGACTCACCAGTTTTTGTTTTTGTTTTAACTTGGATCGGGGTTTTCTATGGTCAAGTAGAGCAGGAATGACATGAACTTAACTCGTTAAAAATAAACACATGACCAAAGCCATCTGTTCTCAGAGGCCACGGGCCAGGGCGGGTGGCCCGGCCGCAGGCCAGTGGGGTTATCTGGCTAAGGGCTTCCGTCAGCACTCCTAGGTTTTCCTACGAGAAGCACTGAGGGCTCTTGTCTTTTCTTTCTTTTTTTAATTTCAATCCCCGAACAGACCTATGGCCAGGACAAGAATGAAAGGGCGCCTCCGTCCAAACCTTGAGGTACATCGGTCACTCCAAGCACCCAGGAGCGGCTGCAGAAGGAATCCTGGAACAGAACGGGCGGTGGTCATGCCGGGGTCCCCGCGGCTCAGGGCCCCACAGACACAGCCTCTGACCGTCCCCGCGGCTCAGGACCCCACAGACACAGCCTCTGACCGTCCCCGCGGCTCAGGGCCCCACGGACACAGCCTCTGACCGTTCCCGCGGCTCAGGGCCCCACGGACACAGCCTCCGCCCGTTCCCGCGGCTCAGGGCCCCACGGACACAGCCTCCGCCCGTTCCCGCGGCTCAGGGCCCCACGGACACAGCCTCCGCCCGTTCCCGCGGCTCAGGGCCCCACGGACACAGCCTCCGCCCGTTCCCGCGGCTCAGGGCCCCACGGACACAGCCTCTGAATGTTCCCGACATGCCTGCGCTCGCACGTCCCCAGGGTCTCAGACGTGGGGAGTCAGCGATAAATCGCTGCGCTGGAGACAAAAGACAAACAGACCCTCGGAACCACTCTGCTCCCCTCATTCCTCGTAAGGCCCTTGTAACTCACTAAGAAGCCATGACCTTGGGAATTCAAGCATTTCCAGGACCTCCCAGACCCAACCCACGTCTAGTGTTCGGCTTGGACTCTCTGGTGTTAGCTTGGCACCAGATGGCGCTGGTCTGTGGGGGATGGAAACCCTCTTCTCTAAGCTGGTTTATTTTTTTTTTATTTTGTTATTTAAAAAATATTACTCTCTCTCATCATTGATGTTTCTATCTCTCTCTTTGCCTCTTCCTCTCTGAAATAATATATATGTATATATAATTATTTATTTAAATATATTTTTATTGATTTCAGAGAGGAAGGGAGAGGGAGAGGGAGAGAGAGAAACATCAGTGATGAGAGAGAGTCATTGATCGGCTGCCTCCTGCACACCCCACACTGGGGATCCAGCCCACAACCCGGGCATGTGTCCTGACAGGGAATCGAACCGGGCCCTCTTGATTCCTAGGTCAACGCTCAACCACTGAGCCACACCGACCGGGTTACAAGCTGGTTTAGACAAAGTTTCCTAAAATCCGGGGGCCGGCCGGCCATGCCTGTGCTTCCTACGGCCCCAGACTGATGCGTGGACTTAGCTCTTGCTCCTCCCTTGTCCCCTAGGGACCCACGAGCTGCTTCCACGGAGGCTCCGGGGGCACCGGGAGGTTTGGGGGCACCGTGGGGCTGCGGGCTCACCGAGGATGGGGCTGATGAACCACACCAGGCTGTACAGCTGGTCCGGGAGGCCCATCTGCAGGAGCACGGGGGTCACATAGGCCGTCTCCATGGCGTAGCTGAACTCGATGCCAAAGAGAATGCAGCCGTTGAAGAGCAGCTCCCGGAAGGACCTCTGGGGGTGCAGGTCCCCGAAGTCCACCAGCTCGATGGGACACGGGGTATTGGGGGGCGGGGGCGGGGAGGGGCGAATGCACTTCCTCCTCCTGGGGTGTCGTTTGAAGTTGTTGGCCCGGTGGCTGATGTGCCGGGTGGCAGACCCCACGTAGCCCGAGATCGGGGACCTCCAGAAGTCCTGGGGTGCCGCAGCGGGGAAGAGGGCCTCTCCCGGAGGGGGGCTGCTCGCGGCGGGGATCATCGCGAGGGGGGCCGCTGGCAGTTCCTGTGGGGAAAGCCCATTCGGAGGCCAGCGGTTACTCACCCGCCTCCACTTCGAGGGCCAGCTTTCCCGGGGGCTCCCCTCCGCTACCCCGACTGCACCCACTTGCCCTTTCCATTTGGGGAAAGTTGAGTTCACAGTGGGGAACGCTTGGAGTCCATCCATCCACATAGCCACCCACTCTTCCTCTAGCCCTCCCATCTGCCCATCCCCTCTCAGACAAACATACAAATAAGCATACATTCACCCATCCCTCCTCCTTCCCATCATCCACCCACCCTCCCTCCCATCCCCTCACTCACCCATGCAACCTTCCATCCATCCTCCCATCCTCATATGCGCCTACCCATCCTCTAGTCCAGCGGTTGCCAACCGGTGGCCACAGACCACTGGTGGTCCATGAGGTCTGAAAGGTTGACAACCACTGCTCTAATCTACTCGTCTACCCTTCTAAACATCCGCCCGTCCGTCCGTCTGTCCATTCATTCATCTACCCATTCATCCTTCTGGCCATCTTTCCACCCACCTTCCCACCCACGCTCCCATGCAGCTGAGTACGGAGTACGCAGGCACTGGCTGCAGAGATAAAAGAGACATCGTTCTTGCCCACGAGTTGGGGGGAAGAGGGGAGGAAAGGCCTTCTAAACAGGAACCACCCAGGTAAGCAGCGCAGGTGCAACATGTGGGCCTGACGGTGGTGCAGGGAGAGAGGAGCCATCAGGCAGGGGCTAGCTGATCACCGAGGCCCTGAAGACCTGCTAAGAGATGGATGCCATCCCCAGAGGACAGGGATGGACTCAGTCGGCTCTCACCTCCATAAGTGGCTTATCCCGTGGCCTCAGACATCCATGCTCTCCTCTACAACAGGAACAGGTGTACCCAAGAACTATGTGCACCAACCGTCCTTCGTGACGAATATACTTCATATGTGACCACCACATCAGGTTTTAGAATTTGTTCAAGTTCACCCCGCTGTCTGAGTTCCCCTGGTCTAGCTCAGGCCCTTGTACATCCTACATAATAAAAGCCTAATATGCTAAGTGTCCGGTTGACCAGCCGGCCATTCAGCCAATCAAAGTGTAATATACTAATGATATGCTGAGGCTGCTCAGCCGCTCGCTATGCCATGCACTGACTACCACCGGTCGACCAGTCGCTATGATGTGCACTGGCCACCAGGGGGGCAGAAGCTCTGACTGGTAGATTAGCTTGCTGCTGGGGTCCGGCCGATCAGGACTGAACGGGACAGGCCAGACACACTGTGGAGCTCTCCCACGGTCCCTCCCCGGCCCCAATCGTGCGCCGGTGGGGTCCCTCGGCCTGGCCTGCGCCCTCTCCAGGACCCCTCAGGGGATGTCAGAGAGCTTGTTTTGGTGGATCCCACAGGCCAGGCGGAGGGACCCCACTGGTGCACGAATCGATTAATAAAGATACACCGTGCCCATGCAATGTGAGTGCTCAAAGCGACCCTCCTATGAGCCAACTCCTTTCCTCCTGTCTTCCTCTTCTAAAGGGAACCAGTCTTCCTGCCACGGGGTCACCCAGGGCCGCACGCCTTCCACACTCTTCCTCCCACCAGCTCTCAAGGTTAATGCCTCGTGGGCTTGAAGCAGGAACTTAACAATCTGATGACTGAACTGTGGCCCCTGCGTGAGGCCAGTTGACCCGAGGAGCCCTGGTTCCGTGGGCACCTGCCTCTACTCCCTGCGAAGCTGGAGACAAACCCTGCGGCGCCCGGAGCAGAGGAGTGACTTAGCGTCCAGGACTGGCCTCGGGAGGGAACCAGCTGCTGGCAGCCTCCTCCTGCTTCAGCCTCGCCCTGACCCTCCGCAAAGGCAGACGCGGGGCTGTGATAACCTGACCGGGGCTGGAAGGTGCCACCCAGGCCCCTGCGGCGGGGCCCGGCCTGGCGGGGAGTGCGCCGCGGAGGACACCTGCCCAGGTGACTCAGGAACAGGCCTCCCGCCCGCTCCTTCCTCGCGGGAAGCGATGCGTGTCCCCACCTGCTCCCTCCTGCGCCAGAGGCGGCCGGCGGGGCCTCCGTTCACAGTTCAAGCGACTGGACATCCAGGAACAAAGGTCGCAGCTCGGATCACCCGGGGCCTACCCGCCTGCCTCCCGCACAACCCGCCGCCGGGAGCCGCCGGAGGAGAGGGTGGTACCTGCGCGTCCAGCCGGGAGGCATCCCTCCTGGAGGCCCGGCTCGCCCGCCCGCCGCCCGCAGCTCAGTCCCGGTCGGTCGGTCGGGGTCGCAGCCGGCAGCCCCAGGCCCACCGGCAGCCGCTGCAGCATCACCCGCGGGGCGGGGCCGTGACGTCACGGCTGCATCCTCGCCGCCGCCGCCGCCGCCGCCGCCGGGCCGGTACCCGCAGAGCATCCTTAAAGCGGCACCGCCGCCCCGAGGCGCTGGACCCCGAGGCGCTGGACCCCGAGCTCAGCCCCCACCCGCTCCGGGCGCACCCTCCCCCCCACACACACACCTTTCAAGGCCCCGAAACAGGCGCTATGGCTTCCGGGGGGTGGGGGGCGGGCCGGAGGCGCTCATACCACGGCCAGCCCTTCTCTACTAAAAAAATAGTAAAACTGTATTTTATGACTGTGTGGTTTATAGATGAATATATCGATTCTATATGTTAAAACATTTCCCCCTGGTCTTGGAGGTCTCGTTTTTTCCTTCTGATTTCGAAAGCAATGAACTGGTTTTGTGGATCCCTAACCGCACTGTGGGCCCTGGGCACGGCCGCGTCAGGAGGGACCAGGTGGCCCTGCCTAGAATATTCTACCACAGTCACTTATTCGCTTCACAGGTGCGTCAGGGCCACTGGGCGAGTCGCTATTCGGGGGACTGGGGTGTGGGTGATGAGAAATCAGACAAAAGTTCCCGCCCCTGGGGCCTGACACCCGAGAGAGGAAGAGACACATTAAAGAGCCAGTGTGGCTCAGTGGTTGGAGCTTCCTGATCAGGGGCACACACCTGCCTGCGGGTTCAATCCCCGTCTGGGTCTGGGTGCCTGTGGGAAGCAACCAGTTGATCTCTCTCTCTCATCGATGTTTCTCTCTCTCTCTCTCTCTCTCTCTCTCTCTCTCACATCGATGTTTCTATCTATCTCTTTCTCTCTCTCTCCCCTTCCCCTCCACTCTCTCTTTAAGAAAAAAAAAATCAATGGAAAAATATCCTTGGATGAGGGTTAACAAAATAATAATAATAAATAAAAAGACAAATTCCATCAATAAGTGAGATGCCGGAAGGTAGCAGTTCCCCTGAGAAGGTGCTCAGCAGCGTGGGGCTGGACGCAGTGTCGCCGCGGTTTTTGTAAAATAGGGCTGTTGGTGAGTCCTCACCTGGAAGGTGACATCTGAAGAAAGAGCTGGAGGAGGTGAGGAGCTAGCCATGCTGACACCTGGGACCGTCATGCCAGGCAGTGGGAGGAGCAGGTGCAAAGGCCCTGGGGTAGAGGTGAGGTGGGCTGAGTGGAAGACACACAAGCGATTAGACACCCTGCCATGAGTTACACCCCAGAAAGTGCTCCGAGGGAGGCATGGGCGCAGTGACGGTTTTAATGGGATGTGCCTTGTTGGGAGGGGCAGGCGTTCCTTGAGGACAAGAGAGTTGAGAGGAGGCAGGCCGTTCTCAGGTAGGGGCTGAGCCTGGGCAGAGCGCTGGCAGCAGGAGGGGCTGGTGAGCACAGGGGCTGGTGAGTGGGGGTGGACTGGGGGCAGACTGGGCCTGGCCTACAGGCCTGGGGAGCTGCCGTCATTTTGTAAGAACACAATGAAGCTTAGAAATGGTCTATGCGGGAGAGCCGGTGATGTTAGTTAAACCCATATTTTGCAAAGATCATGCAGCTGAGGGTAGGAAATGGCTTGGAGGGGCAGGAGGACCAGGTGGGTGCACCACGCAGGCGCTTGGGGACTGGCCCAGGTGGGAGAGGATGGGGGTGAGGGTGGGGGGACAGAGGTGGTGAACTGGTTAGGCATTCAGGAGGTAAGACCAACAGGACTTGGTGAGAGGTTGACGGTGGGTGCTGGGAGCCGTCCATTGGGGTTGGACCCCGGCAGGTGGGGGGTGTGGGAAGGAGGGAGGGAGGTGCCAACAAGTGGCGAGCTTGAGCACCTGGGTGAAGGGAGGCGGCTCATTGGGAGGAGAGCAGGTTGGGGGGGGGGGGTGTGAGAGTCATAGGTGGCTTTGGGGCAGGGCCTGGGGGAGATCAGAGACGGTTCTTTGCAAATCACCATCCAGGGGCGGGGCGTGGAGGCGCCAGGTGCAGCCTCGAGGGCGCAGCCGCTCCTGGCCAGGTGGGGAGAGTGAGCCACCAGAGGACTGGTTCTATCTTGTTTTTTCTCTAAACAGGAGGAACACAGCAGTTTGAAAAAAATAACAGTATGTTTTTCTGTGTTACACTCGCACACAAATGACCTATGTAACAACTAAACCTCAGTGTCTGAGGTGTGTGACCCAATAGGTTAGTGTTTCTGGCCCAGGTGAAGTCCAAAGGGTGTTCCTGCAGGTGAGGTGCTCCACGCAGTCATCCAGGGACCCAGGCTCCCGCTCCCCCCCCCCCCCCCCCCCCCCCCGCCCAGCCAGGCGTGCAAGAGGCCACATTCCACTCACATTCCATGGCCGAGGACTCTGACAGGGCCACACCCAGGGACGAGGAGGAAGCTGGCTGGTTAGCTGTCTCTTCGGCTTTTATCCGCTTGGTGGGGGGGAGGGGGGAAGGGGAGGGGGGTGGGGGGGGGAGGGACGATTGGAAAAGCTATGGAAACAAAAGTTAATATTCAAAATAGGATTTTGCAAAAAGTGAGAAGGCTTAAAATGTAGGTATGATTGAGAAAGAGCTTTTAAAAGATTCTTTTGACTTTTTAAAAATATACTTTATTTCAGAGAGAGGAAGGGAGGGCGGAGAGAGAAACATCAGTGATGGGAGCTGAACATCCATCAGCTGCCTCCTGCACGCCCCGCACCGGGGTGAGCCGCAGCCCCAGCATGTGCCCTGGCCACAGGGGACCGTGACCTCCTGCTTCATAGGTCGACCCTCCACCACTGAGCCGCCGTTTGTGAAACTCCCCAAGTGAGAACCTTCTGGGACTAGAACCCTCGTTTCTTCACCCTCCAGCCGGCCCAGGCCCCGGGCTTCTCCCCGTGTGGACGGCTTTCCCTGCCTCCTCCTCAGGTCTTGTGGAGGCCAGCGTGGGGGACCCAGGGCACCTGGAGCTCAGAGCCGCTGTGGGAGATGGGGGGTGGGCTCTGTGTTGGGAGGACCCTGGGGAGGACGGCCTCCCTCTGTCCAGAAAGGAGACGGTTTTGGGCTGAGCGGCCCCAACCAGTGGCCACAGAGAGGGCGGGGGGCCCAGCTGCCCACTCAGGGCTGAGGTGGACAAAGGCCCTGGGGGGGGGGGGCTGACCTGAGGGGCCGCCCCTCACCCCACGTGGAAGGACAGACAGGCCAGGAGGCGGGCGGAGACGAGCAAAGAGCCCCAGAAGGTCTCCAGGGCCAGGCAGGGCCCCAGGGACATGGGGGCCCCTGCGGGGCACAGGGAGGCCCTGCCCACACGGCAGGGGCCCCAGAGACATCGGGATTGCAGAGCCGCCCACACCCAGCCGCACCTGGGGAGGAGGAGGGAGACCTGGGAGGTGGGTGGGCTGCTCAAGGGACCCAGTCCCACCCAAAGGGCCTGCTCCCAGGGTCCCATTGGGCTCAAGCTGACATCAGGTTTGACCAAGTTAGCGCCCCCCTCAACCCCCAGTGCCCACCAGTGGGCGACGCTGATGAGGAAGCTCAGCTCAGTGACAGGTGACAGGTAAGGGCGTGAGGCCGCCCCTCCTCCCCTCCCCCTCCTCCTCTTCTCCTCCTCCTCCTCCTCCCTTCCTCCCCCTCTCCCCTCCTCCCTCCCCCTCCTCCTCTCCTCCCTCCTCCCCTTCCTCCCCTCCTCCCTCCTCCCCTCCTCCCCTCCTCCCCCCCTCCTCCCCTCCTCCTCCCTCCTCCCCTTCCTCCCCTCCTCCCCCCTCCTCCCTCCTCCCCTCCCCCTCCTCCTCTTCTCCTCCCTCCTCCTCCTCCCCTTCCTCCCCTCCCCGCCCCCGCCGCCCCCACCCCCACCCCGCGAAGGGCAAAGGGGAGAGGAGAGCCAAGGGGAAAGGGGGCGACTCCGGCTCGGGCTGCTCGCTGCCTCGCCTGCCGTCTCGGGGTGTCCACGAGGTGGTGGCAGAGCCCCGCGCTGCTGGCCGAGGCGGGAGGAGCTGGTTAACGGCTGGGCCCTGGCGAGGCTGGCGGCTCTGAGCGGCCTCTGCTTTCCTTGGTGAATGCACCCCGCCCCCCCCCCCCCTATTCTGGAAGCACACAGCCAGGCGGTTATTGTGAGTCCCGGCGTTTCTGGGGTCAGATCTCGAGCCCCGATTCAGTTTGTGAGCTTCAGGCCCTGTGATCAGCCCGGGTCATGATCGGTGCCGCCCCGCCCCGTGCTCTCCCCCGGAGCCTGCGGCGCGGACCCCCTGCCCCCCCCAACCCCCGCCCCGTGCTCTCCCCCGGAGCCTGCGGCGCGGACCCCCTGCCCCCCCCAACCCCCGCCCCGTGCTCTCCACCGGAGCCTGCGGCGCGGACCCCCTGCCCCCCCCCAACCCCCGCCCCGTGCTCTCCACCGGAGCCTGCGGCGCGGACCCCCTGCCCCCCCCCAACCCCCGCCCCGTGCTCTCCCCCGGAGCCTGCGGCGCGGACCCCCTGCCCCCCACCCCCGCCCCGTGCTCTCCACCGGAGCCTGCGGGCGAGGCCACGGGCCAGGTGGGCGCAGGGCCTCCGGGGCCGCTGGCGGTCTGGCTTGGGGTCACGCGTGCTTTCCGCGGGATGCCCAGACCTCACACCCTGCTCTGCCCCCTTCCTCCGGCTCCCAGGACTGCGGCCACGGACCCCCTGCCGGCCCCGCCCCCCCCCCGCCCCCCCACGGCTCTTCAGGGGAGCTGCCTCTGAGCTCCCCGTTCAGGTGGTTCAGGCCCGGGCAGGTACAGAGCCGCAGGGGTGTGTGTGTGTGTGTGTGTGTGTGTGTGTGTGTGTGTGGCTTACACAGACATGGAGAAAGGGGCCTCTTCGTTGTGTGGAGTGAGCGAGTTATTGATGTATCTGTCGATGCTGTCAGGGAAGCTCTGTGAATCTGACGTGCCCCCCACTCACACTCACACACACACACATACACACACACACTCACATACACTCACTCACACACTCACATACACTCACACACACACACACACACACATACACACACACACTCACACACACATACACACACACATACTCAC